ACACCTATAATCCCAGCACTTTGGGAAGCCAAGGCGGGAGGATTGCTTGAGGTTAGCAGTTCATGACCAAATTGAGCAACATAGCAAGACCCCATCTCTACAAAAAATGAAATCCAGCCAGGGGTAATGGTACACGCCTATAGTCCCAGCTACTCGGGAGGCTGAGGCAGGAGGATCACTTGAGCCCAGGAGGTCGAGGATGCGCTGAGCTATGATGACACCACTGCTCTCCAGCTAATGTAACAGAGCGAGACTCTGTGTCAAATTTAAAAAATTAGGTTTACAGAAAAATTGAGCAGAAAAATACAGACAGTTCCCATATACTCACTTACTTCCCATACTGCCTCTCCCAATTTCCTACTATTATTAATGTCTTACCTTAATGTGGTACATTTGTCAGGCAAACGTGATAACCACTACACTACAGAAACTAATGTGGTGCATTTGTTATAACTGATGAACCAATATTAATACATTATCAAGTAAAGTCCACAGCTTACATTAGGGTTCACTCTTTTGACTGTACAAATGCAAAGTCATGTATCCACCAGTATAGTACCAAACAGAATAGTTTTACTGCCCTAACCATCTATCTGTAGCTTTTCAAAAATTCACATAAGTCTGTCCCCAGTTTATCAGAAATTAAATTAAAAATGTGAAGCTAGTCTCTAATGATAAATTACTCTGGGCTCTGTCGAATTTCAATGTCATTTTATGCTAAAAGTCATGAACCATGTGATTCTCATTTATATTTAATAAGCATATTAACAACCCAGGGGACTACATATAAACAGCCTTCTGGGTTCCATTCCATACCACAGACCTGAGGTCCTCACACATCTTACACACTCACGTTTCCGCCTACACTCATTTTCAGCGTGCTCTCTCTCCTTGGCCCCAAAGAACCATCTCTCGTATCATTCATTCACTCTATTTTTAAAGTTCTGGAAATTTGGCTCTACTCCTCGTTTTACTAGGTATATATATTTACAATGCCTTTCAAACCCTGGGCTATAAAAATTATAAACTACAAGTAGGTGCCACTGTCCAACAAATGATGTTACTGTGTCACTTGTTGGACAGAGGTTTCCAACTGGCTACCAAGTTATCACTCCTTAAGTCAATAATAGATAACTGAAATGACACGCACTCGACCAACTTAGAACAAGGGTACTTCTATTTTAGTTCTGTGTACATGAAGACACACCCAGTACACTTTTTTAAAATATTAATGCTTTAGGAACAGAGATACTCTTGCTCATAAAAGCAAGTGCATGGCTCTTGTTCAGTGACAGTTTATATCTGATGAACTCTAAAGAAAATATATTTCTTTTATCCATTTCTGAATATCTATGTAGTATAAATACATAGCAGCATCTCATTTCTGTATTAGTAGGTCACTATTTTAGTTTTAACATTTTTATACATGGCAGAGACTTTATATTTGAATAAGATACCCAGGGTTTAGACTATCACCAGTACAAACAACTGCAGGATGTGACACGAATGAATACATCTACTAGCTCAGATTTCCATTCTCTAGTATATGTTTCTAGGACCTAGAAAAAACAAAAATAGCCCTAGACACTTTTCTAAGGGATAAGAAACAAGGTTCTTACCAAAACTAGACCAAAAATGAACCAGAACATATTGTTATGTCTTAATATTAATTTGTAGAGGGAAGCAGTGGAGAAATCAACTCCATGCCAAATAGCACAAAAGAGTACCTAGACTAATATCTGCCAAGCTTAAGCAAGCATTTGTCAATAAGATTTTCTCCAAGTATTAGTAAACATAAAAGCTCTTCAACTTAAAAAAAAGTACCAAAACATTTAAAGTACCCTATAGAAATAAATGCAATCCTTCACTATTTGTCAAAATTAAAAATGCATATACCCTTGCAGCCATGGCAGTTCCATTCCCAAGATTACACTCATATACTTACAAATGTGCAAAATAAATTACATAAAAGTATTATCACTGCATCATTAATTGTAAGAGAAAACGATCAGAAACAACCTACATGCCCATCAAGAGGCAATAGGTTAAATAAGTTCAGTATACCCTTAAAACAGACATTATTTTATGTTTTAGTTCAGCCATTAAAAGTGCACCAGTCACAAAACACCAAGTATTATATGATTCCATTCATATAAAATATCCAGAATAGGAAAATATGTAGAGATCAAAAGTAGCTTAACGGTTGCTAGAAGTTGGAGAGACTGGAGGGAAATGGGGAATGAATGCTCATGGGTTCGGGACTTCTTTGAGGGTGATGAAAATGTTCTAAAATTTACTGTGGTGATAACTGGACAATTCTGCAACAATGCTATTAATAAAACCACTGAATTGTACACTGTAAATGAGTGAATTGTATGGTATGTGAATTACATTTCCATAAAGCTGTTATTTGATGAAGCAGCTCTATCTAGAATGATATAGAAACGTCACTAAGGTATATTGTTCTGTGACTAAACCAAGTTACAGAACATTGTGAACAGTATGATACAATTTGTGTTTTCTTAAATACACACATACACACACACACACACACAAATACTCCTTTTATTGGCTTTTATATACAATAAAGAAGAAACTATGTAGTTAACAGTGGCTACTTTAAGGAAAGTACCTGAATGTCTAGAGGAGAGGACTCACTACCTTTTTGCACTTTGGAATTTTGTACAGTATGTATATATTATCTATTCAAAACATATATAACATATATTTTTAAAAGTGATATCCATTACAGGTTCAATTTATCAAATATTCTTTTTCTAATATTCAATATTTTCTAATCAGTAAGATTTAACCATGATGAGAAGTTTATTTTTAAAGTAATACCAAAAGATTAGCAACTCTTGATCTTTAAAAACAGTCAACAATATTAGGCAGTGAACGACAGCCTAATTTATTTTACGTTCCTTGCTTTTCTTGTTATAATATGATTTTAACTGTTTTCCTGCTAATTGCAACCTCTCTTTGAAAGTGACCAGGAAAAGTGACATGAAAAGAAACATATTTGTTCACTCTGATGTTTGTTAGCTCTGTTAAAAGATCTGGTGAAGAATCTGGTTGAAATTACTACCTAAAATAACATTAATAAATAATTCATAGAATTTACTTAATTTTGCTTTTTCAACTTTGCTTCTGACCAATGAAGCATATTCATACTGTGAAACCTGCTATATATATAATATATATTATCTATCATATAAATAATATAATAAAGGTCACTCTATTAAATGGCCACATTTTCAGCAATGAGTTTTTACCTGTAGTATAAACTGCACTGGAAATTCAAACACCATGATAAATACATAGATATTATGCCCTGTAAGGGTTGTATGCTCAACAGAAGGATAAGTGATAAATAAGACTACCGCTTCCAAAAAGAATTGCACAGAAAATTAAGATCATTAAGAAAGACTATATACCACACTTCCATAATACTCTTAAAACTTCTCCTCTGTATACAAACTGGATTTCCACCACTAGGTCCTCTGTTTTGACAACTCACTCACTCTAGAAAAACTTAAGCATTCCTTCTTCAGCATTTCCACAGTATCATATATGTACCTCTACTTTACATTCATCACGACACTGTAATTATCTGTTTGTATGTCTGTCTTTTCCATTATACTGAGCTCCCTATGGCAGAAATATCTTATTTATTTTGGTGAGTCTGAGACCTAACACAGCCCCTGCACGCAGGAGAAACTTCAGGAAGTTGTTAGTTAGGAGCACTTGCATTACCGCTAAACCATTCAGCTTTTAAGTCATCATAAACTAAAATTAACCCTTTGTTACTCACACTATTCCCATACCGAAAAGAGAAGAAAGCAAATACATGTCGTTCCAAACCACAAATAATTTATTCCGCATATGGTTAACCTAGGCTCACACCAAAATCAATCAGCTGGCATAGAAAACAGTGCCAAGACAATGGCAGTGCAGATTTTGGATTTTTTTTCAAATGGATGTATCTGAACGACAGTCATTTATCACATGTTCACAGATTTAGAATGTCTGAATTTAGCTAGACTCTGTGCCTAAAAAATGAACTGGGATGAAGGCACATTACAGTCCAAAGGGCTAACAGGACATTTTGATAAAGTCCCTGATAGCTGCCTGCTCAACTTCAGTGCCAAATAACCACTCCAGGGTCCAAGCAGGAGCCACCAGTGACTGGCAAGGGAAAGGTGGCAGAGGTCTATTTAGCCCACTCTGTCTCACAACCAGTCAACAAAATAAACTGCCTTCTTTGTTATACAGGCGATCAATTCTGAAATACATACAGTACACTAGCACAAAGATTCCATGGCTAACTGGCAGAAGTTACAACAAATACTCATTTTATTAAAAAATCAAGCAAATACCTAACCAAAATTTCTAGCACACCAGCTAATTAGTGATAATATATTTTTGAGCTTTAGCATCTTTTTATTACCCTCTTCACTAATCCAGGCAATTTTATCAACCAGTATTTTGGCAAAAGGCAAATAATATAAAAGGAAATTGGAAAGTTTCAGATAATTTAGACAGACCACAGTAGCAAAAGAACAAAAAGATTTAAAGTTTATAATGATATAAAGGAAATCTAAGGGGACATTATTTTCAAGCTTCTATTAGGTGGAAATCAAAAGATAAAACTTTTAGTAATAGTTCTGCCATGAACTATATAACCTTAGACAAATCACTCTGAATCCTAGTTCTCAGTTTTCTAAACTATAGAAATGACTGGAATAAATGATCTCTAAGATCCTCTCCACCTTAAGTTATTCCATAATTACTGAGAAATTTAAAAACAAGGAGTTTTATTTTTGTAAAATATGAGGTGCATTTTTTTCTAGTCACCAGTTCATTATTTGATTTTTTCAGAATCATTTCAGAACTGTTCTATCCAGATGTCAATTAATGACTACCAATTAATGGCTTCCATCTCTATAAAACAAAAATCATAATCAATAAAGTTATTTTAATAAAAAGTTTTCACTTACCTGGTGCAACTACATTGACTCTGATTTTCTTTCTTGCTACCTCTTTAGCAAGAGCACGTGAAAATCCCACTAATCCTCCTTTACTGGCACCGTACACAGACTGGCCAAAGTTGCCTTTCAAACCAATAACACTTCCTAGAAAAGAAAAAAAATTATATCTAATTAATGAGGTTATCTGAAAATTCACATAATTTAAAGTAAGTAAACAAAAAAGGTAAAACCCACCCTTGTCCTTGTTAAAATTGGGAATTCTAACCATTGTCATTTGTCATTTACTTAGGACTCAACAGTCCCAGTCTGCTCCGGACATGTACACAAAATAGGCTCTGAAAGAACCTGATGTACAACGTCCAGTGCCAGGTAGGGACTTACAAACTGATCCAGTAAGTGAAAGGGACCCACTCTATCTCTGAGTACGTCAGATAAGATAAAAATTCCCCGTGGTGTTTATAAAGGCTTCCACCAGAAAGAGGTGAAAACCAGAAAAGGTCAAAGGCTGATTAATCTAATGATTCTACACACAGACGTAAGGAAGTACTCAATTCTACCTAAAAGAATAGTTCATTTAAAGATAAATCTCACTAAAATTGAACCATAGGCAGAACCTGTTTTATTGTTCTTCACACATACTGTTTTTACAAATTGAAGGTTTATGGTAACCCTGCATTAAGTATATTGGCACCATTTTTCTAACAGCATGTGCTCATTTCATGGCTCTGAGTCACATTTTGGTAATTCTCACAATATTCCATACTTTTTCATTATTATATCTGTTATGATAATCTGTGATCAATGATCTTTGATGTTACTTCCATTGTCATTTTTGGGGGTGCCACAAACAAAATACTGACAAGGCACCTGATCACCCAAGAGCTCTAACGGAGATATACAAGGAGATTAATGTTGTTTTCATGCCTGCTAACACAGCATCCATCCTGTAGGCTCATGGATCAAGGAATCATTTCAACTTCCAAGTCTTGTTTTTTAAGAAATACATTTTATAAGGATATAGCTGCCATAGATAGTGATTCCTCTGATGGATCTGGAAAAAGTAAATAGAAAACCTTCTAGAAAGGATTTACCATTCTGGATGCCATTCAGAATATTCATGACTCATGGGAAGTAGTCAAAACATTGACATTAACAGGAGTTGGAAAAAGTTGATTCTAATCCTCATGGATGACTGAGGAGTTTAAGACTTTAACAGAAGGCACTGCAGATACCGTAGAAATAGTAAGAGAACTATTAGGAAGACAGCGAGGGATTCCAGGTCTCCCAGGAACGAAAGTGGGCCCCCACCCTGGTGCTGCCCCACCTTAACCCCGTCTGGAGCGACTGCCATACCTCAGGGAGGAAGAAACACCCTACAATTGGCCAATCAGAACCTAGCGTGCCAACTGCAAAAGAACACAGAGGACTCTCCAGCCCACGGGCCAAGCAGCATAGGTACAAGAGTCCAGAAGGTGACCTAGAACAGCCCTGCATGTGTAGTAAGACTCAGGTCATGCAACTCCCAACTGTCCAATCAAAGTGGTTCCATGCTGACCTCTGAACCACGAGGGAGGTCCCAGTCTGGGCACTATCCAACAAGACGCAGACCATAACCAGGCCCTTTTTCAGCCCTTCTTCCTTTGCTGCAACAATGGGTCCAGTCATCTGTGCCGTATGTATCACGATCTGTAAACCTCTATCTTGCTTGTGCCCTATACTCCTACCTTTCTCTCCTCAATAAACCTCATTTTCATGCTTGCCTTACTTTGGTGCATCTGGTCATTCTTCAGCCACGAGTGCAACAAGAACCGACATTTCCAGACTGAAACCTGACAGAATTAGAAGTGGAGCCTCAAGATATGACTGACTCACTACAAACATGATAAAGTCTGAATGAATGAGGAGTTACTTCTTATGGATGAGCAAAGAAAGCGGTTTCTTAAGGCGGAATTTACTCCTGGTGAAGATGCTGTGACTACTGTGGAAGCACAAAGGATTCAGAACATCACATAAACTTAGCTGATAAAGCAACAGCAGGATGGGAGGATGGATCCAATTTTGAAAGAAGTTCTACTGTGGGTAGAATGCTATCAAACAGCATAGCACACACAAAAGAAAAATCTTTCATGAAAGGAAGAGTCAATTGACACAGCAAATTGTACTGTCTTATTTTAAGAAATCGCCATGGCCACCCCGACCTTCAGCAGCCTCGCCCCGACCTTCAGCAGCCACCCCAACCTTCAGCAGCCACCCCGACCTTCAGCAGCTGCGCCCTGACCTTCAGCAGCCGTGCCCCGACCTTCAGCAGCCACCCCCGACCTTCAGCAGCCACCCCGACCTTCAGCAGCCGCGCCCCGACCTTCAGCAGCCACCCCTTCAGCAGCCACCCCGACCTTCAGCAGCCATCGCCATCACAGCAAGGCGAGACCTTTCACCAGTGAAAGACGGTGATTCACTAGAGGCTCAGATAACTGACAGCATTTTTTAACAATAAAGTGTTTTTTAATTAGGGTTTGTAAATTGTCCTTAGGCATAATGCTATAGACCACAGTCCAGCATAAACATAAATTGTACATACACTGGGAAACCAGACAATTTGAGTGACTTGCTCTACTGCGATACTCACCTCCCTGCAGTGGACTGGGACTGAACCCGCCACACCGCCAGCTGTGCCCTTACTGTCAATCCAGACTGGCAACGCCTCAGTCGTAAACATTTTGTAAAAGTGCAATTTCATGACTTTCAGTGATGTCCTGTAACTTGTACTGCCTAATAACAATCCTTGAGTGACTTCATTTAATGATGAATAGCTAAGAATTAATTTATAATTCAAATACCAACTGCATGCAAATAAATTCTTTCAAAACAGAAGTGAGGAAGTAATTTTCTGCATCACTGACCTGTACTTATGATATAAAAATTAATCAAGAACCTCACAATATTTTTTAAACAATAATTTTATTGTAGAAAAAAAATATTCCAAACACTTTTTCTATTATAATCAAGTCCAGTATAAAAATATTTCTCTATAATATATATTGTATGCCAACTAATGACAAAAGAAAGAGAACCGTGAAGCACAAAGAAAGAAAGAAAAGACATCACACTAAGAAAATGAAGACAGACAGAAAAAGGGATATTTAGGACAAATAAAAATACAAAGAGACAAAAAAGAAAGCAAAATACATGCATGGAAGAAAGGCCAAACAGGAAGCTTTAGTAGCTTTGGTTCATGCCACACACTGTCATTTGGTCAAAAGTGGTAACTGCTGAAATATTAATGAAGTTTCTAGTACCTCAAAGTAGTCCTTTCTATAACAAGATGTAGTCTCTTAATTTACTTTCAATGAACTGTTTTTATTTACTTTTAGCACAATTCTAAAAGTTTTGCAGACACATGAAGGACCGACCTGGGTTTCTGAAATACACCTAAAAAGAGAATCTTTTAGAGTTAAACAAACAGACCCCATGTTATCTGGTGATGGAAACAGGCCTGCGTGCCAGCTTGTAAGAACCTAAAGTCATTATCTGGCCCTGTTAAAAGGCACAGGTGGGCCAGACACAGTGGCTCTCACCTATAATCCCAGCACTTTGGGAGGCCGAGGTAGGAGGATCACTTGAGGCCAGAAGTTCAAGACCAACCTGGGCAATATAACAAACCCTGTATCTACAAAAATAACTGTAAAAACTAGCCAGGTGTGGTGGCACATGTCTGTAGTCCCAGTTACTCTGGAGGCTAAGGCGGAGGCTTGCTTAGGCCCAGGAGGTGGAGGTTGCAACGAGCTACATCAGCCGCCACGGCACTCTAGCCTAGGCAACAGAGTGAGGCCTTGTCTCAAAAAAAAAGACCCAAAAAACAAAAAAGGCAGCAAAGGTGAACTCATTTACTAATCCTTTTAATAAGAAAACTTATTCCTTTACATTTTTAAGAGTGAAAGTAAAAACTGCTCTTACATCCCCTTAGTTTTTTAGCACAGTATTCTTTCCTTTTCTCATTTTCAAAACAGAAAATTCCTAAATCTGGCTTGCAGTTTCTTGTACTATAAAGAATACGGTCATTTACTTTAATGAAGCAGCATCCCCCTTTTGTGGCCTTTTAAGGTATCATCATTTGAAAATAAAAAGCAGATGGTATACCACTATTTTCAAACTACCAAACTGAAATAAACTTTCAAAGTCATTGTGCATTTTAAGTTCTACAGGCACACGCTCCACGGTTTATCTGCTCTGTGCGTCAGATGACCTGCAGACTAGGAGTTACTACTTACATTCACCCTAAAAATCTGAGAAAGGTGAACTTCCTTTAAACCTCTGCACTAGACTTATCAGTGACCCATGCAACTGCTGTAGACATTATTATTTAGCCCCCACTGTATACTTTGTTTCAATTCCTTGTCCTTATTTTAAAAATTAGGTTTCACATAAAAATCAGGATGTCTAATTTCTCTTGAAAAATCAAAATTGCTGGCAAAACTGGGGCCGCCATTTGTGCACAGTAACAATCTATTGGCTCTGAGCAGTGGTGGCCTCCACCACTCCACATGGCTACTGGACAATGAAGCTGAACATCATTTGCCATTTATCACACGGTTAAAACACTGTCATTTTTCTAATACCTGGTGGCGTCACTCATTTAACACCTGCCTGACTCTTTTCCATAGGGATGTGAAATTGTGATGTCTATTTTACTCATTAATCAGTTGGTTAAATCTCTTTTTCCACAGATAATACAATGAAATTTCATCTAAGTTTCACAAGTGAATAAATTCCAAATTAGGGGATGAAATGTTTTTATGGTAATATGGGCTAATAAATTAACAAAGGTGAAGACTCACTCACCTATATTAACAATAGACCCTCCCTGTTGTTGAATCATAGTCTTCATGGCAGCTCTGCACGTCAGCATGGAACCCAGGAGGTTAGTATGAAGCAGAGATACCATATCTTCAGTTTTTGTTCTTACTAAAAGACTATCCCTACAAAAAGAAACAGCATGTAAATTAATAACAAGATAAGCCAAAAAAAAGTCAAGACATAGATGACATTTTTACTCAAAGTAGAGTGTAAGAAGTACTTCATATTTGAGTTAGAGTATCTAGAGTCCCATTTTGAACTTGGCTTAAGAGGCATTAAAATAACAATTGATAAGACAGAAAGGATTCATGTGAAAGGCATGTTCCTGCCCCCTCTCGCCTAGAGTGGCAAATATTCCTATCAGCTAAAGGAAGTACCATACAGCCAGAATAGTTTGAATGACCTGGGTAATCGCCATACCATACCCTCATTTAGCAAGAAAATTAAGGTTATTCTAAATAGTCTCTCCTAAGTTCATCTTTTAAAAAAACAATACCCACTCTATGATGCCATTGGTATTAAGTTCATTAACTGGCAAAACATATGTAATAACAGAACTCAGAATAATGGTTACCTAAAAAGGAAGTATTAATTGAGAAAAAACTGAGAGAGCCTTCTGGAGTGCAGGAAATATTGTATAGCTCAATATAGGTGATGATTACAACATTAAAACTGATCAAACTGGACACTTACTTTATATCCCAACATAAAAAAAAAGAATGTATGGACTGACAAAGTTTTAAAATAGTTTTTCTTTCTATTAGAAGTAAAACAACTTAATTAACTTATACTAATCAAAGACACATCAGGAATAAAAGTTTTAAAAAAGCATTAGAAATGTACTTAAATCTGTGACCAACCTGTTAATACCAGCCGCATTTACCAGGAAATTTACTCGACCTAAGTGTTTCTCAATCTCTTCAAATGTATTTTGAACATCCTGTTCTTTAGCAACATCACAGCTAAATGCCAAATGACCTCCTATACAACAAAGTTAAATTAGAATTATTTATAAATTATAACTTGAATTTACTCAATACACGTTTGTTAAGCATCTACTATAATATATAACAGGCCTGTGCTAACCTAGTACCTAGAGATAAAAAAATAAATTATGTCATGGGGTCCTCCTCTCATGGAGTTGGTCTAATGAAACTGGGATGGGGTAGGTAGGGAACAAGAAGAAATAAAGTAATACTGCAGAAAGTTCATTTTAAAACTGTTCATAATCAACAAAAGTTGGGAGGAGCCTTTTTCCAGTTTATAATGCTTCGTAAGATTCGTCTAATATTTATAGCTTTAACACTGAACCCATGCTACCCAATTCAACAGTCTTCTGGGTTTCACATTCCCTTTTCTGAAATTTATGTCTGTCAGGTTTTTGTTGAATTGGCTTCTCTGGCCCTGAACAGGAACTCTAGGGTTTCTTATTGTTGTTCTTTAACTGCTACAGATTCACTATGACACATATATTACAATGACTATTATTCTAGCCTGACTATGAGGACACAGGACAATGCAGGAAGCTGTAAAAAATGCTGAGACTACAAACCAAACACGAAAAAAAATTTTTTACTAAAAAAACAGCTGTTGCCATTTTTTTAAAAAAATGCTTAAATGCCAAAAATTATAAATAAAAATAAAACATTCCCTATTTAATAATCTACCATTTTAATACTCTAAGATATAGAATTTTCTTTAAAAAGTTAAAACAATTGCTTATTTTGTGTCTGACCTTGACAAATACATTTTACATGAACACTACCCACTGGAGCCTTTGGAATCAGTAAGTCACCTGGGAAATCACAATGACTGATGAAAACCAATCACTCACGGAACAGGATTCAAGAAAATAAAAGAAGCCGGGCGCGGTGGCTCACGCCTGTAATCCTAGCACTCTGGGAGGCTGAGGCGGGGGGGATTGCTCAAGGTCAGGAGTTCGAAACCAGCCTGAGCAAGAGCGAGACCCCGTCTCTACTATAAATAGAAAGAAATTAATTGGCCAACTAATATATATAGAAAAAATCAGCCGGGCATGGTGGCGAATGCCTGTAGTCCCAGCTACTCGGGAGGCTGAGGCAGCAGGATTGCTTGAGCCCAGGAGTTTGAGGTTGCTGTGAGCTATGCTGACGCCATGGCACTCACTCTAGCCTGGGCAACAAAGTGAGACTCTGTCTCAAAAAAAAAAAAAGAAAAGAAAAGAAAAGTATCTCAGCACTTTGGGAGACTGAGGCAGGAAGATCACTCGAGCCCAGAAGTTTGAGACTGCAGAGAGCTATGATTGAGCCTCTGCTGCCCACTGGGCAGCAGAGCAAGTCTCTAAAAAAGAAAATGAAAGGCTCAAAAGCATCCTGTGTCTCACTCCTGGCTTTCACCTGAGGACCTGTCGTGTCCACAACCACCCTTGAAAATTCAGCCAATGTTTTTAACTTACTCCAGCAAACTTTGGTGGCTTCAGGTGACCCAGTAATGACCACCACTTCTTCCCTCCTTTGTCAGAATGGCAGTGAATAAGAGCTGTAAGAGCATTCACTGAAATTCTCCCTGGGCTATAACTTGCAAGTTTTTTTTCTAGAGCCCAGTATTCTCCTAGCCCACACAAACAATTAGGCTGAAGCGGTGATCCCAAACCAATGGTATCCACAACATGCACCGTCTCACGCCTCTATTTTACCCACTGTCTCCCTAATAGTAAATGAAGTGTATTTTTGTCCATTCTAAGCAAACAGCAGCCTCTTAATAGCTAACGTTTTATGTCTCCCTACCATAAATACTTAAACTCACAAAATAATGAGTGATTCATTATTAATACGCAGAAAAAGACTGAAGTTTAAATGCAATAAAATCTGGCAGAACAAATTTCAACTGTCCACTTGCAAAATTCACCAAAACAATTTGATAACTCATTATTCATGGCTGTAACCGAGCAAACCAGGTGTATCTCAAAACCGGCTGGTGGCACTAAAAGGGCTTCTCTGTGAATCGCTGCTGGGTGCTTTCCCACGGGGCAGGGACAGCCCCGAGCGAAACTTCAGGGAGCGCTTCTACCCGGCGCTCCCACCTTGCGGCCTGAACTCCTCTCCCCGCGGCCCTGGCCCAGGGCGCCGGGCTCGAACCCGGTCCCCTGCGTGCAGAGCTCCCCGTCACGTGGCCGCAGGGGGCTGGGCGCTGCTCAGCTGAGCCTCTCAGGACGCGACGTCCCGGAGAAGCCCCAGGGCCCGGGCGGGGGGGGGGGGAGGCCGCTTCGCGAGGCTGGTTTCCACGGCGACGAGCCGCCGCGGGCCGCGGGGACGAGCTCGCCCGCCTCGGTACCTACCGCCGAGGTCACCGGCGGCGGCCCTGGCCACGTCCAGATTCCTGGCGACGATGGCCACGCGGTAGCCCTTCCGGGCCATTAACTGGGCCACCGCCCTGCCGATGCCTCGGGAGCCTCCGAAAACGGCACAGACTTTGTCCATCTCGGGCCCGCGCTCACAGACCCGGGGGGAAGAGGGCCGGTAGCGGCACCCACTTCCCGAGCTCCCTCCAACTTTTAAACAACCGCCAAAAAAAGAGCCAAACGCTCCAGAAACACACGCGCTCCACGCCGCCTCCTGCCGTCGGCCCCGGCGAACCAGTAGGTTGCTAGGAAGACCGAGCAGCTCGGCGTCGGCGCGCCGACGTCAGCACGCAGGCCCCCCCCCCCCCGGCGCCGCGAGAGCCCGGCCGGCAGCAGACGGCAGGAGGGCGCCGCGCTGCTTGCTGGGACTTGCAGTCTAGATGCCGGAAGGCGCCGCGAGGCATGCTGGGACTTGTAGTCGGATGCCGGCGAGCTCGAAGCGTGGGCGCCCGGCTAGGTGGGAAATACACCTGCGGTGCCGACAAACGCGTCTGTCCTTCCAGGGACATGGGGGTCGGGATTAGAGCTCCGGCGACCAATCCTCCCGGTTTGTTTGGAATTAACAGAGTTGTGAGGACGCGGCGCTTTCCCCAACAAACCAAGACGAGCTGATCATTGCAGTTAGCACCCAGAATATTGATTACGGGGAGCGCACGCGTCGGGGTTCCGGCGTTTGCCTTTCACCCCGGTTTTGTCTTTGGCTGCAGACTTGATCTCCTACTTGTTGAAGAAGTGGTCCCCCAGTATCAGACTCACAGCAAAACCTCTTTTACCTGTTCCTTCCCCCAGCTGCTGCAGAAATGGGCCTCTCTCCACCCAGAGGCTACCTTTCTTCGCAAAGGCTGCTGTGAAGGAACATGCCCTGTCTGTCCGAGAACACGTTGTAGCAGGAGCTCAAGAAATAACAAATGAATGAGTAGTCTTGCAAGATCTATGAAAACAAGCTTAGGCTGCTGTAGACAAACAAAAATGCGTTCCTGCAATTCTACGCAAAATGTGCTGAGTGTTCCAAGAGTTAATGAGCTAAAAAATTGAACATTAGTTACAAGTGTAGTGTAAAAAGGAAGCATTTCTTCATATGATATTATCACACTAAATGATTCAGGAAAGTATAAACCATGATCCCTATTACTAAAAAAGATACAACCTAGAACAACAGGACTAATGTACATTGAAACATTAGGGAATAGTTCAAAATCATGTTTAGTAAAGTACAAAATCATATTAACACGAGAGCTCAGAGAAAAAATGAGTTCAATGAAGAACGAAGGGGTGACGGTTAAAGCTGGGTGAGGTTTACAAAGGGAAGGGAAGAGCGCAAAGTCTATAAGCAAGATGAGTTATTTTTAAATGTTTATTTTTATTTTACCTAGATCCAAAGGGTTTGGACTGACTTGCAAAAATACATCAGTAAATGATTTTAAAAGGTAAAGCGGACAGCTGCAATGCCTCGTCTTCCCCAAGACCAGAACAATAAAGTGAGATCAGTGGAGAACTTGAAAGGCCCAAACTAGCCTAAAGGCCCAAACTAGCCTAAAGGCCCAAACTAGCCTAACCAGCTTTTTGCTTCTGTAACTATGCTTGCTCATAGGTAATTAAGACCCCTACCCCTCCCTTTTTCTTTATCTTTTCCCGTAAGTGTCCATTGCAAGTTCTCGGAATTGGGTAGTGGTCGTGCAACTGGTTGTGCAAGATGGAGCTACTGAAATTTCCCCACCCTAAACTCCCCGGCCACCTGCGTGTGGTCTCACCCCATAAAAACCCTAAGCTTGAGAGCTTCGGCGCGGCAGCCTCCCCATCTTGGTGATGCTGTTTAGCCCCTGCGCGGGCTGGAAATAAATCCTCTTGCTCTCTTGCATCAAGCCTCTGGACTCTGAGTCTTTTTGGGCGGTCGTCTCTCTCCCAAACGGGCTGTACATTTCTACGGCCCAACAAACTTAATGCAAATAGTCATTCTGTGAGAATCTATTCAGTATTAAAGAAGAGATGCATATGTGATTCTGAGTTTCCTAGTGGCCAAAGCAACAAAGGAAATGTAATTCATTGCAAGTAGTAATTTCTGTAAGAAATAAACATCCTGGTTGTGCAGCAGAGAGGCCTGAGCAAAATTTCCTCCTCATGGACCCTCCTAAAGGACATACTAAGCACTATAGTAAACAATGCTTTTGATGGAAAAGAAAAAGACTGTAAAGCTATTTTTACAGCATCTATTAGACTTTACTACGAGCAAATACAATAGAAGTTAAACAATTTAAGCAAACATTCAGTCACAAGTATGAGCTTTGTATGTCTAAAACAATAAGGAAGCAAGCCTGCCTACAGGAAAGTTGGGATGGTGCTGGATTATATTAACAGCAGGCTTTAAAGCCAGATGCCAGGCATTAAACAGGGAGAGGTAATAAGATAAAAGATACATTTAAGAACCATTAGTCCCCCAGCGATATCAGAATGGGTTGGACCAAATCTGTCCGATTCTCTGTCCTGCTATACCCACATGCAATCTTGGAAAGGAAAAGCTGTTTTAGACAAATTACCGATATATGGGTCAACCTAAATGGCAATTGTATTCCTGAATCTTAGGGCAAACCAGAAAGATTCCATTTTTGTGGACAGTTCTGTCTATTTCATAGGAGAGGGGTTATACTTTTTCCACACATTGTTATTTTAGCCAAAAACCCACATGAATTTTAGATACATGCTATCTGTCACAAAGATCGTTAACGCGCACTGTGAGGTGACATTCAGAATTCTTGACACCTTCCAGTTTTTCTCACTGTATACAGACAGTCAGTGGATAGGCTGAGCTTTTCCTTCAACACATTCTTCAGTTTAAACCCCAAGGATATTATTATTTTTTCCCTCTTAATACAACATCGCTTCTTATCTGGGTGAGAATACACCCAGCACGTGTCAGCCCTTAGCTGCGAGAGTTATGGGCAGGGGAAGCTCCTGCCTCACCTCGCAAGGGTGGAGTGAGGCCTGCAAATTAGGCTGGGTCTCCCTTGCCCAGCAGGACACTGAGGGAGGCCAGTGAGATGCAACGGCCTTTAGTCTTTTCTTCTCACTAAGCATGCCACTTTGGTGGTGATGTTTTGATCATATCTTATACTTTAATTTAAACCCACATAGGATATGTTTTCTCTTGGCTCCAATAATCAGAGGAGAAAATTCCTTGCGTATAAGAACTGTTATGCAAATTTTTAAATATACATGCTTTGTGTTATTTTCCTGATTACTAAGGGAATACCATTTAATTGCCAAAAAAACGCCCAACTTTTAAAAGTAAATAAAAATTAATTGAAAGCACTATACACTTTAAATGGGTAAATTCTATCTCCATGGAACTATTAATTTAAAAATTTAATTGAAAGCCTACTGCCCCGTGATAGGACATTGGAATCTGCCACTAATTAACTATAAAGGGGTTGTACCTTTCACAGATATTTTTATCATAAGTCGAGATTTATGACCAAGATTCCAAATACATAGGAAAACTTGTGCATAAGAAATTCATAATTATGATTTAATATTTGTCTAGCATCCTCCTCACACAAAGCACTGTCCTACACACGGCCACCGTGGCAGCTCTGCCACTGAACTGAAATCTTCCTGCAGTGCGTGGGCTCCAGGACTGGGACAGCCCTGAGTCTGCAGCACCAGGTAGGGCAAGGTCGGCCCGGCTTCTCCACACAGCCCATGCTCTCACTTCAAGAAGAAAGATTAGAAAGCTGCCTCAGTGTAGCTGCACAGATATATAACTTCTGTGATTAAAAAGCGGTATTGACTTTCTCATTGGCATTCTTCTATCGCACCTACTGGGTAATCTAAGTTGTAAGGAATGTACTTTTTATCATTTACAAAAGTTTATTTCGAGTGAAAAAAAACTGTGGCCCATGAGCACTGTTGTTTTGTTGGACTGGCATCCGTACCTGGGAGGCCACCGGGGAGCTCTGAACCAGGCACTCACTTGTCGCCTAGGACAGAAGCTTGCAGTTCATCCCTACCCTCTCTCACACGCCCCACACCTGCTCAGTGGCAAAGTCCTGCTGGTCCTCCTTCCTCAACACCACTGCAGCCTAGGAGCTCTCCCTAAAGCCCCACGGCCCAGCTGGGTCAGGGCGCAATGACTGGGACAGCAGGTCTGCACGCGCCGGGACCACCAGAGGGCCCCTTCTGTACAAATCTGATCTTGGCGGTCCCTGAAGCAAGCCCTGCTATGGCTCCCTGTCACCCGCAGCGTCCTCCCTGAGCTCCCCAGGAGCCTCTCCTACAGCCTCTTCCCGCGTCCACCCTCACCCGCCACACTTCCTCCCAGCCACATGTCCCAAGGTACCTGCGATTCCCCAAAGTGACCTGTTTTTTCACACTTCCATGCTTTCCCAAATGCCGTCTCCTCAGCCCATCATGTTCCTACCACTTCCCCTGGCAAAATCAGATTTATCATTCAAGACTCAGCTCCAACACCTCTCCCAATGGAAGCCTTTCCTGACCCAAAGGAGGACACGCTGATGCCTTTCTTCACCCGTCTTGCCTTGCCTGTGTCCTTAAGTCTGTGTCAAGGCGGGAGGGACCCTGACTGCAGAATCCAGAGAGTTACAGGAGACAGCGAAGGGTCTATGAGTTTAGCTAGTGGAATACAAAATCTCCTGTCCTTTGTAGATAAGTAGTTTCTGGCAAGAGGGGCGAATTCTTTCGCTGAGCTCTCAAGCGGAATTTTCACCTAAAATGGTTAAGAACTTTCTACGTATGCTAAATTGTGCACTCTTTGAATGCAGAATGTATCATATGCATTTTTGTTTCCGTTTGTAGCACAGTTCCTAGGGCTTGTGAATGCCACATAAATTAGTTAATAGATGAATAAATGAGTGAATGAAATAATTCACTTAAAAAGAATTTATTGCTATGGGCAAGAACCGGTGTTGGATACAGCTATGATTAAGATAGACCTGGCTCCTGCTTTCACTGGGAAAACAATCTGGCAAGGAAGACAGATGCTAAACAATTAATCATACTCTTACTATTTGCTGACAATGGTGGGAAGATCTAAAGGGGAGAAGTGCAGGCCGCTGGGAGGGGCATGACGGGGGGCTTTGAGCCGATGTTGGGGGCTGGGGTCAGAAAAGGCTCCTTTGAAGACACTAATGTTCATAAACTAAATGAATAACAAACATAAAAACTGATAACTATAGTGACTATCCACCAGTAGGTTACAAGGTTAACCAGGAGATAACATAACTCATACATGAAGAACAAAAATCCTAATGAAAAGTTCACTTTGATGAGGAAAGAGATTGCTCCTAGATGAGATCACCCAGGTTGGACAGGTCCCCAGGAAGTGCCATGGAAGAGTATCATGTCTGAAATTTTATGACACTCTTTCTTTCTCAGTCAAAAATGTTCTAATGGAGTGAAGCCAGCTCTGGATGCTTAAGATCGGGCCCCAGCACCGCGTGCCTGCCAAGCCAAGAGACGGAGAACTCGGCGTTCCTGAAATCAGCTCCGACATCGGCCTCAATTTCCTGGGCCCAGCCTCTCACCGCTCCACTTCCTTCTCTCTGTGTCAGTGCCTTCCCTGCTCTGCCCTTTCGGCTGCGTGTTCCCGCTTGGCCGCAACTCACCTGCCTGTTTCCCGCCCAGCCCTGCAGTGGCTCAGGCTGACAGGTGTGTATCAGTGGCCTCGCCTGGCTCTGGGATGCCGCACCCTGGGAGGGACCCAAAGGCTGGGGGGCAGCCTTTGGGCGCATGAACCCTGTGCCACATGGGCCCTGTGCCACGCGGGCCCTGTACCACCTGGGCCCTGTACCACGTGGGCCCTGTACCACCTGGGCCCTGTGCCACGCAGGCCCTGCGCCTGTCTGGTTTACCATTTGTGACTGACCTGCAATGCGACGGCTTCTGCATCTCCAGACAGCACCTATATGACAGTGGGATCTCACTGTAGTGATCACTGCCTTCTGTTCCTCATCCAGAGGCTATAGAAACCCACCCCGCAGCTTGGATTTTGATTAAATAGTTATACAGAGCAGAAAACTGGGGCCAAACAAAAACTATTGATTAAAATAGGCCTCCAGTTGGGATTAATATGTGTATTGACCGAATTATGTCTCCCCCCTATATTCGTATGGTAAAGCCTTAACCCCTGATGTGACTGTATTTGGAGGTAGGGCCTTTAGGGAAGTAATTAGGATGAATGATAATGTCATTAATCACCAGGGAAATGCAAATTAAAATCACAGTGAGATATCGCCTTACCCCAGTTAGAACAGCTTGTATGAAAAAGTCCAAAACAACAGATGCTGGCATGGATGCAAAAAGAAAGGAATGCTGATACATGTTGGTAGGACTGAGAACTAGTTTAACCTCTATGGAAAACAGTATAGAGATTGCTCAAAGAACTAAAAGTAGACCTACCATTTGATCCAGCAATCCCACCACTGGGCATTTATCTAAAAGAAAAAAAGTCATTTTATCAAAAATACATCTGCACTCAAATGTTTATCACAGCACAATTCACAGTTGCAAAGATGTGGAATCAACCCAAGTGCCCATCGATTTATGAGTTCATTAACAAAATATGGTATATGTACACCATGGAATACTACTCAGCCATGAAGAAGGATGATGTAATGCCTTTGCAACAATTTAGATGGAACTGTGACTGTTGTCCTAAGTGAAATATCTGAAGAATGGAAAAATACCACATGTACTCGCTATTAAATTAAAACTAACCAATGAGCACACATGTGCACAGAGGGAAGTAAAACTCAATGGAAATCAAGTAGAGGGGAAGGGGGATGAGGGGATGGGGAAAACCTACCTAACGGGTACAATGAACACTGGGGTGAGGGGCGCACTTTT